ATAGTTAAAGCATGTAGTTTGACAAATTACTTTAAAGAAAAATATCTTGCAAATGAAGAGTTAGTACAATAAAATAGCATTTGTATTGATAGCCATTGCCTTATATGTGGAGAGCTTGGTGAGATTATTGATCATCTCTCAAAAATTGTGATGTTATTCAAAGATCATTACATATAAGTTTTCTTAGAGAGAATCCAAAACTTAGCTTATAATTCCATTAATGACTTACTAATATATTGAATGTAAGTGACAGCAAGGGGAGGCCATGCTTTATGCTTGTACTATCGAATATTTGGTAAAGTCAAAATATATGGATAAATTAATTAAAATTGTGGAGCCAAATAACCCCTTATAATAACCACAATAATTTTTTTTAAAAAAAAATCCACGAAACACTGTTGATTTATCGTGTATAAGTGAAATTAGGGCTCCCTCATTGCAATCCCGAATTCTTTCTCCTTAAAGATTTTGTAAGCTGATGCATTAATAATAATGGTAATTTTTTTTTTTATTTATAAACACTAATATGCAAATATCATCTTTGCAGGTATTGAAACAAATTTTGTTCCAAACATGCATTGGTCTATTTAAGATTCTTGATTAACGGTACAAGTTGGATGTTGCATTAAAATGTAGAATTCATAATATTATTGTTGAATGTAATTCGTTTATTGTTTATAATCTTATCTCAACACGTGATCATGATCTTTCCAAATTTAACTTGTTTATAGAGGATGAAAGATGTTCTTTTTTTAAAATTTTTTTTTTATTTTTTTTCCATCAATATAGACTTCAAGAGTTTATAGTAAAACAGTAGATAAGTTAACTTTTGATACGTGATTCTACTACTTAATAGCTTGTTAATTGTTCGAGAGTCTCATAATTTTTTATTTCTCTTGCTTAAGAATGACTACGTTGTTTATACTTAAATTGCAATGCACACTTTTTTTTTTTAAAAAAAAAAAAAGAGTTTAAAGCTTGATAATAAGTCATTTCCTATTTGAAATATAATTTCTTATGATTTTTCATTCTCAAATATTTTTCACATTTAAATAATTAAAGTAATCATTAAAAAGTATTAAGATCATCTTTTTTTTTTAATATGTGTAAAATTAATATATAATATTATATAAACCAATTGAACTTAAAATTGAACTAGATATTATTAAGTAAATTAATAAATTAGGCCTAAGTGCCATTTAAAAAAATCTTGTTGTTCATGTATTGAAACTTGACACAAAATTTTATATTACATTTAATATAGAATCACTGACCAATATAAATGATATGAGATACATAATTATTAATCTACTACCAATTATAAATAAGAAAAATAATATTTGTATACGAATTTTAGATATACAATAAGATTTTAAGTTACAACAACTATTTTGGTCTCTATTTTAATTAACTATTTATTATAATAATATTTTTCATAATTAAAACTTTTGCCTTTCAGATTTGAGAAGTACCTATGAAATGTTTAAATGATTAAAAGAAAGCGAATGTTGGAAGATGACTTTTGTATGACTTTGTGCGGAGAAACTGTTACTGGGAGCACGTGACTTGCCTTCTAATTTCAAATAATAAGGTCTCTATCCGATTAACTTTTGGGACCATATTTTTTTCTATCTCTAAGATTTTTAAAAATTTTAAAAATTATTTTTATTTTTTAACTTAATTTTTTTTCTCAACAACGTTGATTTAAATTTTTAATTAATTAATATTAATAATAAAAATATTATCATTACAATACATTTTTAAATTTTTTTTTAATTCTAGCTTATTGTTCACATTTGAAAAAAATAATTTTGATTTTTTAGTCGGAGAAATAGTGACTTGAACTTATTATAGTTCTCAAGCATAGTTTTAAGGGTGTATTTTGCCTAATAAATATCTTTTAAATGTTTAGACATGAAAACAAAGCTTACTTAATTACACAATATTATATATTATACCATTTATGTTGAAAAGATATTCCTGAAAATAATTTTGTAGGAAGGAGATATAACATGGAAAACACATACAATGACTAAAAACGCTAAATGCGAGCAAAGTTGAAATTTCTTCATTGATTAAAATTTAAAGAATATATATAACAAAACATAGTATAAGAATATGATATATCAATTAATGTTGTATATACATAGAGAGAGAGAGAGAGAGAGAGAGAGGACTAAGCCTCTGCTGATTGTTTTATGAGAGTATGTTTTAATTTTTATAAAATGTATAAAAAAAATTGTAGAACTATTTTAGAAATTATTATATTGAAAATAATTACACATATAAATATATATATAAACTTTTAAATAATAATTTTTTGGTGAATTTTATAACTTGTCTTTTATGCTAATAATATTCATTATGTTTTAAAAATTTGACAATGTATGCTTCTGATAATAATTTATAGATGAACAAAATAACAGTAGTAATCTAATATATATATATATATATATAACGAACTTTTGTCTAAAGTAATAAATATTGGGCGTGTAATCTCACAAAAACGTAGACACTAATTATAGGAAAAGAGCATTACTGTCGCTATTAATTACTTCCTTTTCTTTTGTTTATGTAATAAAATAATAATAATAATAATAGTTGAGAGGTGCTTGTAAATTTCATAATGAATTGACATTCATTTTCTTTTTCGGATTATAATTTTATGACTGAGAAAGGTAATTTCGCGTTGGCCTTCTAAAAAAGCAAGTTGCTGAGAGGTGCTTGACCTTGTTGACCGCCACGCTCAACCAGAAAATATAAAAGGAACTCTGCACGAGGAGGGGAGGGAAGTAAAAGAAACTGTGAGATATTAAGTGTTTGAATTTTTTTTTTTACAGAGATCAGATCAGCCATGATGGAGGATAATTAATGAAAAAGTAGAGAAAACGTTAACTGTCTTTTATGAAAGGAGAGGGCTTTTGCTTTTTTGCCAAAACACACGTATTTGCGAATTTACTTTTCTCTTCTTCACTCTTCTTCTCTTCTCTTCTCTCTCTTCAAGGCCATCTCCATTTTTTTAATTGCTATTATACGGGAAGGGATTGTATTAATATTTTCCTCTCTTTAATTTTCTCAGGAAACTGAGCTTTCTATCTTTCATCCTCTCTCTCTCTCTCTCTCTCTCTCTCTCTCTCTCTCTCTCCATCTCTATTATACAAATACTTCGCCAACTTCATGGCCTCATAAAAGCCTCTGAGATCTGCTATGTACTCCTACTGGATAGAGAATTGCAGGGCAGGGAAAGCACAAGAGGGTAAGGCAAACATTTTCGAACCCTAATTCTTTGTTCTTCTCCTTTTGGGTTCTTCTGCAGATTCTTTGATTTGTTTTTCTTTTTTAGTTGCGCGTGTAATCGACCTCGAAATTTGTACGAATTGCTCCTTTGATTTGTTTTGCTTTCTTCAGGTGATTCAGATCCATGGCAGCGCTTTCTGATCGTTTTTATTTGTGGGTCTTTTTCCGGTTTCGAATCTTTGCTCCTGTTTCTTCTTTATGTTCCCTCCTCCCCCCCCGCCCCAAAAGAAAAAAAAAATCCTCGCCTGAATCTAGGGCTTTCTGTTTTAGGAATTAGTTTCTTTGGTTGATTTTTGTATTGCTGACTTGTTTTGGGATCCAGATAGGTTTAAGTTTGGGTTCTTGCGTTTTTACTGCTGTCTATTGACATTTGGATTGGACTTTTGTGGACAGTTTTGGTTACCTTTTTAGTGGTTAACGTACTTATGTTCTTATTGTCATAATTTTGAGCTTACTTATGGAAATTGACTTACTGAGGTGGGTCCTTGTGATTTCTTTTTGTTGAATGTTGGTCGATGTGTTTTAGATTAGGGGGCTACTTGTTCGAGCTGCAAATGGTTCATCTCTGATTTCCTTGCAACTGCGAAAATCTCATTGCTTCTGATCTTGATCTTCCTTATCGATGAAGAGAAATATTTCAGTTGATATTGTACTAAATTGTTTCTCTTAGTTCATTGCATGAAAAGCCTTGTTCGTATTTTCTTCGCTCTTAGAGATATCTTAATCAGGGTATCGGGTTTCAGTCATTGGAACAGGTGCATTTGACGGCAGAATAAATAAAGAAACTTGAAGTTCTTCTGTGGATTGCATTTATTGGTCTGCTGTTGTATTGTCATTCTCATGGTGGGAGTGCATTCCGTTGGTATCCATCTTGTCCAACTAGTGAGAAAGTTATTATGCTGCAGAAAGCTATGCTAGCAGGTTTGTGGATTTAATCAGATATACTGTCTTCAGGATTGGCTACACTAGAACTCAATATGGAGCTGTTTGTTTCATGAGGTGAAGCATCTAGATTTGGAGGGCCCTTGAAGTCCGCATATTATGAGTACTGTTTGATGTGTTCTTTATTACTTGTTACTTGGTCGCAAAGATGCTATCTGTTTTGAGTTTGCCTACGTGTTGCTGATCAAAGAAATTGCCGATGCCCTGCTGAATGACTTGTGAAAGGTTGCATCCTTTCTTGGAGTACGGGGTTGCAGTAAGAAGAAATGTAATTTACATAGCTTGGTTTCTATCAAAAATTTATATAGCTTGGTATATATTTGGGGGTTTTTTCTGTTTATTTGAAGTGTTGTTTAAGTGCGATATTGCACTGGTACTTCTGGATTATTTGAAGCAGCAATAAAATCATGGAAGCTGAGACTCTAAACGTTAACGAGCGGCTAGGTCTTCTTCACCGGCTACGTCCTTCTCTGGCACCTGTGCTTCTTATCGCAATTGGATATGTAGACCCAGGGAAGTGGGTGGCAACTGTAGAAGGGGGTGCCCATTTTGGGATTGATCTGGTGGCGCTAATGCTTCTTTTCAATTTTGCTGCCATTTTGTGTCAATATGTGTCGGCACAAATAAGTGTTGTCACTGGCAGAGATCTAGCTCAGGTATTGTATTATTTCCAATTGGATTATGTTTTCAACGACACTTGTTTTCTAGGTCTATTTATATCTTTTTAGGCTCCATTTGCTTCAAAAAAATGACTTTCAGAAAGTCAATGTTCTTGTTTTTCAGTGTCTGGTTGGGGAAAAAACAAAGAGAAAAGTTTGACAGGACAATGTTTTTCATCTGAAAAAGGATAAACAACTTCGTCTGCCGCAAAGTTGTATTATTTTCCTTAGGATTCAAAAACTCCAAATACTCCATAAATGTTGGTTCTCTTCTTTTCATATCAAATATGTTCCTTTGTATTTTTTTTAAATTTTTGTTTTTGTTTTTGTCTTCCTCTAGAAATCTCATTTTCTCTACATCTTTCCCTCTTAATCTGCCTCTTGTATTGCCCAATTCTTTACTTTTAATTTGCTTTATTCTTTCATGGTTATATTTAAATCTTTTGCTTATGAAAATGGTTGGCTAATCCATATTAGTATTGTCATGCAATCGTTTAAATTTTGGATAATTATCTTATACTTTATCGATGATAAGCTAGATGAAATCCATGTTTTGCTTTTAATTGTTTTATAGTAAAATTTGTCAGGTTCTTGCATTTCAAATGACTTGCACTTTTTCTTTTTGGAAAAAGATACTTTAGAAATTTGGCAATTTTTTATAGTGGAGCATGAGTGAAAAATAATTCCTTCAAAAAATTATTTTCTGCAAACCAAAGAAAAGTTTAGTGTGGTAAATCAACATGCTCCTCATAGAGAGGTAATCATTCTACACGAAAACAATGTGGGCTATAACTCTCGACTTATATTCAATTTTATCTTTCTGTTGAAATTTTTTTTGCTATCCTGTAAATAATCTGTTTAAGATTTCTTATGTTGCAAATAGATATTTCACAAGTCTTCTGAGGGGAAATCTTTTCTTTCATTCTGGATCAGAATACCCACAGGAATTGATTTTTCTTTTTCCTCTGATATCCAAATATTGGTCTATCGGAAACTAATGAATTCAAAAATTCTTTGATCATCCCAGATCCAAATCGTCTCGTGTATTATCAAACTCTATTGTATGTATCCTCTTTTTCTGTGGAACCTTTTGTATCCTGGTTATCAAAATCCCCCATCTTTCGTTATTTCGTTGCTTAATAATTCTGCAATTACACTCATAGCCAACACAATCACACACATTATGGTTATATGTTTCTTTGCTGTTCTCTCTCTCTAGCCTCCTCTCTTCTGTTCATTTATACCATTGTTTCTATTTTGCCTATTGCATTTACCCCATTAAAAATTAACTAACCGTGTTTCTTCATTATGAATAGATTTGCAGGGATGAGTATGACAAATGTACATGCATGTTCTTAGGAATTCAGGCTGAGCTTTCTGCTATCACATTGGACCTCACCATGGTAGTTTTTCATACTATTTGAAGTTGCTAATGTTCTGTAGTTAGCTGCTTGTCATGTATTGTTGGTGAACTAAAGCCTTTATCAAAGCTATAGCTGATTGTTTCATGTGTTTATTGGGTTGATTTGCCAGGTTTTGGGCATTGCCCATGCACTTAATCTTCTACTTGGGGTGGATTTATCTACTGGTGTTTTTGTAGCTGCCATTGATGCTGTTTTGTTTCCCATTTTTTCCACCCTCTTGGTGGGTTCTTTGTTCATTTTTTTTCTATAATGTCAACCCTAATATTATCATTAGGAATCTGACCAGTATCTATTCTGCAGGAGAATCACACTGCAAATGTCATGTGCATTTGCTTGGCAGGCCTCATATTACTTTCTTATGTTTTGGGAGGGCTACTCAGCCAGCCAGAAATCCCACTCTCCATGAATGGGATATTGTCAAGGCTGAGTGGGGAGAGTGCATTTGCCCTGATGAGTCTACTTGGAGCGAATATTATGCCTCACAATTTTTATCTCCATTCTTATATTGCTAAGGTGTCTTTCACATCCTTATCTTTTTCTATCTTCTTGTGTGGGTGGACATATTTGTCTCTTGAGGAACGAGCATGTTTGCATATGCTTTTGCTTTCTTGTTAGCTTTTTCATGTTTAATATGTTGCTTTTCATATTCAAGTCATTCTGGGATCTCCATCTGTATGTCTTTGTTATTTCTTGCATTACTACCATCCAACTATTGATTTACCTTTCCATCCTTCATTTGTTATTTCTTGTCATCTATTCCTAAGAAAGAAACCCCAAACTGATATTAGCAAGGGAAAAGGTTATCTTTTGCAATGAAAACAAAAAGAAAGAAAAAAAGAAGAATAATGGCCAACTCGCATGTTTTTTCCAAAAGAAAAGAAATAAAACTTCTTTTTGGGGGGGGATTTTCCGGGTGTGCGGATGGGGATACTGCAAGTGGCAAGAATATTAGTTATCAACTGGACATCATAAATAATGGTGAGGATCCCGTCTTCTCCATTGAAATGCTTTCATGTTTGTAGCTGTTGACCTATTGGTAAGGTTAAGCCTATAGTTGGGAGTTCTGAGTAAATGTTTGGGAGCTAATCAAATTCTTTTTTGTCACTGAACTATAGAAAAGATTGTAAAGATTGGTTTTTAAATTTGCTCTTGGGCTCCACTTATGGAAAAAAATATGTTGCAAATTATAATAAAAAAGGATATAACTAAAATTCATATTGAATCAATTGTGATCCCCTCCCAACCCTGGTCCAGAGGTTGGATTATTGGAGGTTGTAGAGGAGTTACAAGGGGTTTAGTGAACCAGTACTTTTATCTTTTTTAAGAACTGCCAAACAGTCAATGGATTCCTGTTCAAGAGGCTTTATAATAATTATTTTTGTCCATTCGCTCAACTTGTTGTAAACTTCCACTTTCGCTTATATTGTTGCAGATGCATTCATCCCCACCATGCAATTCCAAGAGCACCTTGTGTCATGATCATTTTTTCTCCATCTTATGCGTCTTCAGTGGAATTTATCTGGTGAATTATGTCCTGATGAATGCAGCCGCAAATGTGTTTGATAGTACCGGCCTTGTGTTACTTACCTTTCAGGATGCAATGTCACTAATGGAGCAGGTTGCTTTATTTTCTCCTTCCAATTAGCAATTTGTTATAATGCTACTGATCATGTTTACGTTCTTTTAATCATGGCGCTGATAGATTTCCTCTTGACAAAATGACTGAAGCAGGTTTTTAGGAGTCCACTAGCCCGGGTAGCCTTTCTGCTGGTTCTGTTTTTCTCTAATCAAATTTCTGCATTAACCTGGAATATTAGTGGACAAGTGGTTCTACATGATTTCCTCAAACTAGACATACCCAATTGGCTTCATCGAGCTACAATCAGAATTATTGCTATTGTCCCGGCACTTTATTGTGTATGGACTTCAGGAGCTGAAGGGATTTATCAATTGCTTATTTTCACACAGGTTATGGTGGCTCTCATGCTTCCATCATCTGTGATCCCCCTTTTCCGCATTGCATCATCAAGACCGATTATGGGTGTCCACAAAATTTCTCAATTTCTAGAGTTCTTAGCATTGGTAACATTCATGGGGATGCTG